CAACCCCACCCCAGCCCCAACAACCCCAGCCCCAACAACCCCACCCCAGCCCCAACAACCCCTCTCCTGTTCCACCAGCTCTACCACCACCAAACCCTCGCTCTCGACTATTTAAGGTCCAGGGGCCAGCGAGAAGCCGGTGTCGGCACCAGAAAACAGCAAGTTTGAACTGGAACTCAAGCCTGTGTATCAGCTCGCAGCTTCCTACAGCACCATCCACCCTCTCCTATTCCACCGGCCCCCACCTTCCCTCACGAGCCGCGGTTGAGAGCGCCTACCTCACTCCAATGTCCTTGGATACCCGGAGCCCGCCGCGCCGCGCATGCGCCGCCCCCCTAGCCGCAGACGCTTCCAGAAGCTACGGCGCGGCGCAGCCACCGGACGTGCCTTCCGATTGGCCGCCGTGGGGAAAGCGATACGAGCGCCCATTGGTCGCTGTCGCTGAGCGTATTGTGATGTGTTGCGCAGGGATATGCGGAGGTGACGCCAAGCGCATGCGTCGCCCCACACCGGCATTCTGGGAGTTGTAGTCTCACTTGCTTGAAGGTTGCTGCTGCTGATATGGTGGACGACAACAAAAGGTCTGGAGAGGAGAGGTAAAGGAGCTGAAACTGAAATTGCTGGAGAAACTCAGAAGACTTGGCCTCTCTTGGGGGGGGGGGGGAGAGAGAGAGAATATTGTTCACGTTCCCAGTCTGGTGACCATGTAGATGTTTATAAAATCATGAAAGGCATAGCCAAGGTCTTTTCCCAAGGGTAAGGGAGTCCAAAACCAGAAGGCATAGGTATAAGGTGAGAGGGGAAAGATTTGCAGTGTTTGAGCCTGGGGATTGGTCTCCAACCTCCCTTTTCCTTCTCCTTCTGGCTTTATTTGATCAATAACGTGATGGAGAAAATGATAAATCCCACCCCCCGCCAACATCACTATCACTATCGTTGAACTCAGGACCATCACAAAGCGTGCAGAAAGGAAACCAGAAACTTCAAAACTTACAACGCATGGCAAGAGGGTGCGGGGTGGCCACGCTTTCATTACAACTGGCAAAAGGTCCCTTGAGAGTGAGAGACGGGAGGATCTTTCATGCTCAGAGTCCTAGAGCATGTACAGCATGGAAACAGACCCTTCGGTCTAACACGTCCTTGCTGACCAGATACCCCAAATTAATCAAGTCCCATTTACCAGCAGTTGGCCCATAATCCTCCAAACCTTTCCTAGTCATGTACTCATCCAGATGCTTTTAAAATGTTGTATTTGTACCCATCTCCACCACCTCCTCTGGCAGCTCATTCCATAAATGAACAACTCTCTTTGTGAAAAATTTGCCCCTTTCAGTCCTTTTTATATCTTTCCCTTCCCACCTTAAACCTATGCCCTCTAGTTTTGGTCTCCCCTAGCCTGGGGAAAAGACCTTGGCTATTCATCCTATCCATGTCCTTCATAATTTTATAAACTTTATACGGTCACCCCTCAGCCTCTGATGCTCGAGAGAAAATAGCCCCAGATTGCTCAGCCTGCCCTCAAGCTCCAACTCTACAACCCTGGCAACATCCTTGTAAATCTTTTCTGGACTCTTTCAAGTTACACAACGTCTTTCCTAAAGCAGAGAGACCAGAACTGAACACAGTATTCCAGAAGTGGCCTCACCAGTGTCATGTACAACCACAACACGACCTCCCAACTCCTATGCACAATGCAATGACCAATAAAGGCAAGATCACCAAACGCCTTTTCACCACCCTGTCTACCTGCAACTCCACTCGCTTGTTATAATCTGGAGTATGCAGCCCGAAAGAAAGCAGAATTAGCAGTAACTTTCAAAAGGAAATTGGGTGACTACTTGAAGGGAAGCCCACTGCTGGTCTATGGAACAAGCAGAGTAGTGCATATAATTGGAGAGTTGTGACAAGGCGGCAGTATGAGCACAACAGGACTCTCATGTCCGCTGTCACTTTGTTCAGCTGTTTTTTGAAGTGTCTGGTGCTGAATCTCTGACTTCACTTCAGCATTTCTCTCTCCAGGCCTTTGTCACCAGTTGCGTGGGTGAAAAGACAAATCAAAAGACTTGCATTGACATGGTGCTTTTCATACTTTCTGAACATCCAAATGTGTAATACAGCCAATCAAGAATTTTTGAAGTGCAGTCTCTGATTTGATGCAGGATACAAGGTCGCCAGAGGCAATGGCCTAGTGGTATTTTTGCTGGACTGTAAATCCAGAGACCCAGATAACGTCCCGGGGACCCAAGTTGAATCCTGCCATGGCAGATGGTGGAATTTGAATTCAACAAAAAATATCTGATGACCGTGAATCCATTGTTGATTGTTGGAAAAACCAATTTGGTTCACTAATGTACTTTTGGGAGGGAAACTGTCATCCTTAGCTGGTCTGGCCTACATGTGACTCCAGACCCACAGCAATGTGGTTGACTCTGAACTGCCCTCTGGGCAACTAGGGATGGGCAATAAATGCTGCCTGGTCAGCGATGCCCTCAACCCATGAATGAATCTTTTAAAAATAAAAACAGAAAGCACTGTAAATACTCAGCAGGTCTGGTGGCATCGGTGGAGAGAGAAATACAGTTAAAGTTTTTAAGCTGAATACAAGAGTCCTAATCTGTATTTTCTAAAATATCCCTTTAAATGTCTGCATCGTTATTGACCTACCACTTAACCTAATTTACCAGGTTACTTTAGGTGACCCCACTTTCATGTCCTCACAACTGGCCTTATTTAAGTTTAAACTACCTGTCTCTCCTTTCCCTAAAACTGAACTTAAGATTCAAAAAAATAATAGTTGCTGTTTCTTAGGGGCACCTTCACTATTAGGTTATTATTTAATCCTATTTTGTTACACAATACCAGGTCTAATAAAGCCTGCTTTCTGGTGGGCTCCAGACATGTTGTTCTGAGAATCTATTTTGGTCTGGAGTTGCTGATTCACCCTCACCAGACTGTACAGTATCTGGCAGGAAGATCTCCGAGAGCCTCAGACTACTTAGGGAAATGATTGCCTATGTGCCAAGTAAAACTTTCGAACACGCACCTGGATGTAGCTTGGATGGTGTTGGGACCAGCGCTCGTTGTCATATTGTTCACGCACAACTGGACTCTGCACCACCATATGTTGCTCTCAGGTGGGTTACAGTGTTGAAGAAACATATTGCACACCTCCTTCTGGATTGTGCCTTTGGAAGTAAGGTCGAGAGAGAGAGAGATGTGGAGGTTTTTGTCACGGTTGATCTTGAGTAACTGAGTGAAGCAGAACTCTGTGCTCTGTTTCCTGACAACAGAAACAAATATCCAGTGTGTCCGGAGGATGATCAACTCAGTACAAGACTCTTTGGTGTTCTCAAAACTTGCTTGTCTTCCAATGCCGGGAGTTATCCTTGACTGAGTGTTGCAGACTGGCACATTCCAAGGTCAGCTCTGAGGGACACACTAAAGCTTAGGGCGGCCTTTTGTCCCTGTTATTACAACCTCTGGCATGATCCATGATTAACTCTTTGGTTTGCATTTTCTATCCCTTCCTGTTACAGTCTGTTTATCATTTCCCACATTAGGACCTATTTCTCTCTTACATTGTCTCTACTCTTTAATTGACCACATCTTCACAGATTTGATTCCTTGCTCCTTTAGTTTTTTCCTTTGTTCTATATTTTGATAATTATGCAGCTTGCTAGAACACTAGTCCCAGCAGGATTCAGTGTGGACCACCCCAATGGTAATGCTCCCACTTACCCCAGCACTGGTGCCAGTCCCCATGATCTGGACCCCTTTTCCACACACCAATTTTTGAGCCACAGCTTCGTCCCTCTAACTTAATTCACCCTATGCCAATTTATACATGGATCAGATTATAATCCAGAGATCATTATCTTTGACGTCCTGCTTCTTAATTTTATCCTGACTATGCAGAACTCCTTTCCTGTTCTGCATTTGTCATTGGTACCTACATGATAGCGAGGATTTTACCCCTCCTTCACTGTAGGTTCCTCTTCAGTCCTGAGCAGATGGCTGGAGGTCTGACACCAGGCAGGCAACACAGCCAAGTGGACTCTCATTCTTTGCTGCAGAAAACAGTGTCTGTCCGCCTGGCTATATTATCCAGTAATGCCATTGTATTCCATATTGCTCCTTCCACTTGAGTGGCTACCTGTGTCACATTGCCATGGTAAGTTAGCCCATCCATTCTGCATCCTTCACACTCATCCAAACTAGCAGAAAAAAACCTCAAATAAAACCAGAAAGTGCTGGAGAAGCTCAGCAGGCCTGGCAGTATCTGTGGCGAAGGAAACAGAGTTAACGTTTTTAATGCAACATGACTTCTTCTGAAAACATGCGCTACAGACATGTTTTTTACCCTGCTTCACATTGGAGCCCAGGAAGTCTAAATGCTGTAATTTCATCACGACACCTACCCTGCCATTTTTAATGTTTCTTAATTAAATAATTAATTATACCTGTTTTTCATCATCCTGTTCACATGTGTTATGACATAGCTTCTGGACTAGGTGGAACTTAAACCCAGGTTCAAAGGTAGGAGGGACACTACCACTGGACCAGAAGAACACTTACAGTCATAGAGATGTACAGCATGGAAACAGACCCTTTGGTCTAACTCGTCCATGCTGGCCAGATATCCTGAATTAATCTAGTCCCATTTGCCAGCATTTGGCCCATATCCCTCTAAACCCTTCCTATTCATGTCCCCATCCAGATGCTTTTAAAATGCTGTAATTGCACCAGCCTCCTCTGGCAGCTCATTCCATACACGCACCACCCTCTGTGTGGAAAAAGTTGCCCCTTAGGTCCCTTTTAAATCTTTCCCCTCTCACCTTAAACCTATGCCCTCTAGTTTTGGACTCTCCTACCCTGGGGAACAACCTTGACTCTTCATCCTATCCATGCCCCTCACAATTTTATAAACTTCTCTAAGGCTACTCCTCAGCCTCCGACACCCGAGAGAAAACAGCCCCAGCCTATTCAGCCTCTCGCTTTAGCTCAAACCCTTCAACCCTGGCAACATCCTTGTACTTCTTCTCTGAACCCTTTCAAGTTTAACAACATCCTTCCTATAGTAAGGAGACCAGAATTGAACGCAGTATTCCAAAAGTGGCCTAACCAATATCCCGTACAGCCACAACATGACCCTCCCAACTCCTACACTCAATGCACTGGCCAGTAAAGGCAAGCGTACCAAATGCCTCCTTCACTTTCAAGGAACTATGAACCTGCACTCCAACGTTTCTTCATTCTGCAACACTCCCCAGGACCTTACCATTTACTGTATAAGTCCTGCCCTGATTTGCCTTTCCAAAATGCAGCACCTCACATTTATCTAAATTAAACTCTATCTGCCACTCCTCAGCCCATAGGCCCACTGATCAAGGTCCTGTTGTACTCTGAGGTTCCATTCTGCGCTGTCCACTACACCACCAATTTTGGTGTCATTTGCAAATTTAGAAACCACATCTCCTATATTCACATCCAAACAATTTATATAAATGATAAAAAGAGGTGGATCTAGCACCGATCACTGCAGCACACCACGAGTCACAGGCCTCCTGTTCAAAAAGCAATCCTCTACCACCACCCTCTGTTTCCTACCTTTTAGCTAATTTTGTATCCAAACAGCTAGTTCTCCTGAATTCCATGTGATCTAACCTTGCTTACCAGTCTACCATGCAAAACCTTGTCAAACACCTTACTGAAGTCCATGGAGATCACATCCAATGCTTTGCCTTCATCAATCCTCTTTGTTACTTCTTCAAAAAACTCAATCGAGTTAGTGAGGAGGAAGATAACAAGGTGTAGAGCTAGATGAACACAGCAGGCCAAGCAGCATCAGAGGAGCAAGAAAGCTGACGTTTCAGGCCTAGACCCTTCTTCAGAAAAAATGTTAGTGAGACACATTTTCCCCTGCACAAAGCCATGTTGACTGTCCTGAATCAGACCTCGCTTTTCCAAATACATGTAAATCCTATCCCTCATAATCTCGTCCAACAACTTGCCCACCACTGATGTCAGCCTCACCGGTCTATAGTTCCCTGGCTTTTCCTTCTCCCCTTTCTTAAATAATGGCACTATGTTAGCCCATCTCTAGTATTCTGGCACCTCACCCTTGGCTATAACTGATACAAATATCTTAGCAAAGGGCCCAGGAATCACTTCCCCAGCTTCCCACAAACATCTAGGGTACACCTGATCTGGTCCCGGGGATTTATCCATTTTTATGCATTTTAAGACATCCAACACCTCCTCTTCTGTAATATGGACACTTTTCATGATGTCACTATTTATTTTCCCAAGTTCTCTAGCTTCCATATCCTCCCTCACAGTAAACACTGATGCAAAATACTCATTTAGTATCTCCCCCATCTACTGCAGTTCTACACACAGGTAGTCTTGCTGATCTTTAAGGGGCCTTATTCTCTCCCTAGGTATGCCTTTGTCCCTAATGTATTTGTAGAGACCCTTTGGATTCAACTTAACTGTGTTTGCCAAAGATATCTCATGTCCTCTTTTTGCCCTCCTGATTTTCCTCTTAAGTATACCCCTACTGACTTTACACTCTACTAGGGATTCACTTGATCTCTGCTATCTACACCTGACATATGCTTCCCTCTTTTTCTTGACCAGAACCTCAATTTCCCCAACTTTCCCCAAAATACTTGTTTAATATCTACCCCATCTCCTGCGGTTCCACACATAGTCAGGCTTGCTGATCTCTAAGTGCCCTATTCTAATTACTCCTTTGTCGTTAATTTATTTTTAAAAACCCTTTGGATTCTCCTTCGCCCTATTTGCCAAAGCTATCTCATGTCTCCTTTTTGGCCTCCTGTTTTCCCTCTTAAGTATAATCCTACTGCCTTTATGACTGAAACGGCAGCATTCCTGCTCCTCTGATGCTGCCTGGCCTGCTGTGTTCCTCTAGCCTCAGACTGATCCCTTTTCTCACTTTCTCTCTGGATCCCCATTTCCCCCTCTGGTTTAAATCCTCCCAGTTGGCTTTAGCAAATTTTATCCCCCGAGCACAGTCCCCTTTCAATTCAGGTGCAACTCTTTCTTATACAGGTACCTTCTATCCCAGAAGAGATTCCAATAATCCGAAAATGTGAATCCTGCTCCCCTGCACCAGCTCCTCAGCCATGCATTCATTTGCTCTATCCTCCTATTCCTATTCTCACTAGCACGTGCCACCAGGAGTAATCCAAATATTACTACCCTCAAGGACCTACTTTTTAACCTCCTGCCTAATTTCCTATATTCTCTCCTCAGAAGCTCATCCTCTTCTGTTCCTTAGTTGTTGGTTCCAATGTGTTCAATGACCTCCTGCTGTTTCTTCTTCCCTTTGAGAATATTCTGCACTCTCTACGAGACATCCTTGACCTTGGCACCTGGGAGGCAACACACCATTCTGATTTCTTGTTGCCAGCTGCAGAAACATCTGTCTGCGCCTCTGATTAGAGAGTCCCCTATCACAATCGATTGCTTGGAACCTTGCATAACCCTTGTTACAGTACAGCCAGTCTCAGAAACTTGGCTGTCAGTGCTACATTTCCCTGAGAGTCCAACCCCCCTCTATGTTTTCCAAAATGACATACTTGTTTGAGATGAGGACAGACACAGGAGACTCCTGCACTGCCTGTCTACCTCTCCTATCTTTCCTGGGGATAATACATCGACCTTTCTATACCTACGGTTTTTCTACCTTGCTCAAACTGCCATCCATCACACCCTGGCTCCTGTAAATTCCTCATTGCCTCTAAGTGCTCAAACCTATCCCTGCGATCCAATAGGATTTAAAACCAAGCAAACATCCTGCAGACATAATAATTAGCAATATGGAAATTGTCCTTAATGTCCCACATCCTACAGGAAGAGCACATCACTCTACTAAAAGCCATCTTTACACCTCAATAATCTACAGACCCAGAAAATAGCACAGTCTTCCTGCTCTAAAAATGCTGCTGGGGGTGGGGGGGTCACTTGCTACCTATGTTTTATATTTTAAAAAGCAGTTTAATCTAGAGAGTTAAACTGGGAGGTGAATCCAGATGTTCTGGCCTAGAGGTAGAAAGATTAGCACTGGGCTACAAGACCCTGCTGACATCAGAAGTTGAATTCAAACCCGTGCCTCCAGATGGAGACCAGAACACACAGCTTTCAGTGGAAGGACTTTACTTCTTAAGTCTGGCACTTTAATATCTTGGCTATTCTGACACCAATAATTAATTAATTATATGATTAATTAAATTATGAACTATATTAATGTCTTTTCTCACGTCCACCTACTGTACTAACTTAAATCTAGGAAATCCAATAAACTTTACCATTTATGACTAAGATGAATATTGAAAGCACTACTGATGGAATCTCTAAAATAGTGATAAGCTAATAAGTTAAAAAAAATTTTTCTCAGTTTACACACAGTCCCTAACAGCAGTTACTCACCAATCATTCAACCCACAACTTTCGTGCGATTTCACTTTCCTTTTCAAAACCTGTGTATTTATAGCACATCCCGCTCTACGTATCTCCCACATGTCTACCCTTGTCCATCCCTCTCCCAGACAATCACTGTCAAGTTTTCCTACGTTGTCAGTGTTCATTGTTTCTCAAGGTGCCTGTCTCAGGGTCCTCCTCTTGCCCACTCCACCAGTCAATTGGCACAAGTGTGGAGCTTTCTCACTACAAACCATGCAAGAAAGTATTGGCAAATGTAGTGCCCAGTTCCCCATGGCTACTGTCCTCCTGATGCTTTAGAAGCACTTGATTAACAAATTGGACTGAGTCGGACACAATGGGCAGACCCCAGGATAGCTCCTTACCTCCTTGGATAAGAAGATTGTTTTGCTTGTGAAATTCAGCTTGTCTGGTTAACCGTACTGTTCGTGGTACCGTAAATTCCTCTTTAGCTTACCAATCACTGACAGCATTCCATCTTTACCCCCACTGCAATATCGTCTCATGTGAGTTCTTTGTTTGTGTTACTATATTGGCAATTATCCACAAAGCATTCTAAATCATTTTTAACAGAATCGATGTTTTCCCCTTGGTCTTGGCTACACCGTGTAAACTTACAATGGATTTTGTTTTAAACTGAAATAGGAGTTCAAAGCCAACACAGTATGGAGCTGGAGGAAGACAGCAGGACAGGCAGCATCAGAGGAGCAGGAAAGTTGACGTTTTGAGTTGGGACCCTTCTTCAGAAAAAGCTGTAGTTTCCATTTCGTGCGTTACATATTTTCCCTGGTATGCCTTGTCTCTGCGTTTTTCAGAGGATGGTAAAGGCACTACTTTTACCATCATTGGACATTTTCTGTATGGGCTTTGGTGACTAAAATGCTCTTATTTCCTGAGCACTTTTTTAGCTTTTGTGTGGGCTTTCCCTCACTATGGTCCGTTATGTGGGTTTCTTTCTTTTCAAATTTTTTTTTAATGGGACATAGATACGGCCATCATTTATTTCTTATCATTAATTTGCAGTTGAGCTGAGTAGCTTGCTGGGCCATTTCAGAAGGCATTTAAGAGTCAACCACTCTGCTCCGTGTCTCGAGTCCCACGTAGGCCAGTGCAGGTAAGGACGGCACGTTTTGTTCCATGAGGGACATTAGTGATCAAAATGGGTTTTACAACAATCAATGATAGTCACATGGTCACCATCACCAAGTCTAGCCTTCAGTTCTGGATTTTAATCAAATTTGAGCCTACTTCCTTGAGCATTAGACTGGCATCTGAATTGCTATTCCAGTGAAATTACCACCATGTCACTATCTCATGTAGTTATGTATCTCTGTAAACTTTCCGATGGACAGGAACTTATTAATTGCAGTTAAGGGTTGATTTTCCTTTCATGTTGCTTGTCTTTTTCTCTCTTGTGGGCCTTCTCCCAGGCCTTTTCACTTTTTAGACAGTCTTTCCTATTCTGTGGCTCACCGTTCAGTTGGACCTTGAAGTATTAAATCCCCAACAACTGCTGAACTTTACTTCAGCTGCCTCCCCATCTCTTTTCTCGAATCACTGTACTGGCCTCATGGTATTGTCGCTGGGCTTCAGTTGAGGCTTTTCCTGCCACTTACCTCCAGTCCCTTGGGTCTAAATCACCACAGCTTCCATGTAGAAGGTGAGTTGTACACTCAGATAACATGTTTTACTAAGTGTAATTGTTAATGAGACAAGGTGAAAGAGGACATACTTCTGAAGTCTTACACACTCAGGTTATAGTTCTAAATGATCTAGAGCGCTATAATACAGCTCCTTTCACACATGCTCAGCAGCTATTCTTCAAGTAAAGGTATGATTAACTCTCTACACTCCCCTAATTGGCTTTTGTATTTGCAAGTTAACGTTCCATGATTCATATACAAGGCAATCCTGAATACCAGCACTTCTTATTCTCTCACAATATAAAAACTATTCTGCTTTTCCATTTCTCCTTTCAAAGTGGATAATTTCACACTTTCCTGTATTACAGTATATTCCAGTGGTAAATAAAACACTCAGTAGCTCAGGAAGCCTCTTTGTGGAGAGGGAGACAGAGAGTTAAAATTTTAAATGATGCCCAAGCTGCTGAGCATTTCTAACATTTCCAGTTTCATTTTCAGATTTCCAGGGGTTAGACTCTGAAAAATGTGATGCATAGAGTCAAAGAGCTGTACAGCATTGAAACTAACCCTTTGGTCTAACTCGTCCATGACGACAGCTATCCTAAATTAATCTGGTTGCATTTGCCAGCATTTGTCCCATATCCCTCTAAACCCTTTTTATTCATGTACCCATCCAGATGCCTTTTAAATGTTGTAATTGTACCAGCCTCCACTACTTCCTCTGGTAGCTCATTCCATAACACATCACCGTCTATGTGAAAAAATTGCCCCTTAGGTCCCATTTTAGGGATTTGAAGCGGTATAGCTTAAATTGCATCAACTTGATATCCTTTCTTTTCACAGTTCTTGTTAAAATTAAGTGTGTTACAACAAATAGTGATTTTACTCTTATTGAAGAAATGTGGTTTGAATTGCTTTTGTGTAAGTAGCAGTCTATCAGATAAATTGGTCACAAACAAAAGCAAGTTGCTGGAAAAGCTCAGGCAGTCTGACATGCTTCTGTGGAGAGAAATCAGAGTTAATGTTTTGGGTCAAGTGACTCTTCCTCAGATGATAAACTCGTCATTTTGGTGCTCTGATTGGGATTTAATAGCTTGTGATGACTTGTGGAACAGTGAGGCACATATTTCCCAGTATATTCATGACATGCATTAGTCATTATGACAGGACAAGCAGAAAGCAGTTAAGAAATCATACAATGTTCAAAGCTTCATTAATAGGGATATAGAGAATGGGATCAGGTAGGTTATGGAGTCCATATTTAGGACCCTGGTTAGACCTCAGCTGGAGTGCTGTGTACAGTTTTGGACACAATGCTGAATGAAGGATGTGAATGCATTGGACATTGAACACAGTCCCCAAAAAAACATAGCCTCACTCTTGCCTTGATTCATCTTGGCTCCTGAGGCCAGTTCGAACTGGTTGCAGATGCTCATGCGCAGTGACAGCAGATCTGAGCAGAAAACAATGACGTCATCCGTCACAGGGAGGTTTTTGACCTGCAGGACTTCATTGCCTTGAATAGTCAAGCTCACATCCTTCCTGATGGCCTCTGCAAAAGGCTCTATACAACACACAAAAAGGCAGGAAAGAGTGGGCAGCCCTGCTTGACTCTAGATCTGATCGGAAAGCTTTCTGATTACCATGATTGAGACTGCACTAATGCTGGTGTAAAGCAACAGGATCCAGTTGCAGATTCCTTCCCCAAAGCCCATTTTGGAGAGCACGTTCAATATGTAGGTAAGCGATATCCTGTCAAAGGCCCTTTTCTGGTCCAGGCTGATGAGGCAGGCTTCCACGGCCACCGCCCCGCCTCTCCCACAAACCCACCATCCTGCAGATAGGCAATCGTATCCCTGAGAAGCAGGAGGCTCTCAGAGATTGTCTTGCCTGGTACAGCACAAGTTTGGTCATGGTGAATCACCGATTCCAGAGCAGATCTGACCCAGTTGGCAATGACATTGGACAGGATTTTGTAGTCTGCATTCAGCAGTGAAATTGGTTGCCAATTTCTAATTTTCTCCCTCTTCCATTCAGCTTGTAGATGAAAGTGATGATACCCTTCCTCATAGATTCGCACATGCTAACTGCCAGAAGCAAAAATGTCAAACACTCCAGTAGATCCTGGCAAATCAAGTCCCACTTCCGGGAGTTTTATTCTTTTCTAAGGATTCGAAGGTGTTGGTCAGCTCATCCAGAGCTAATGCCTCGTCCAACTTCTCCCACGTGCTGTCGTCTAAGCTCTACAGTCTGTTCCCTGGGACGCACACCACGACAAACATCAAAAGGTCCTGGATGACCAGCAAGCCGGTGAAAGACACTCTTTGGTCTGCCCAGAACTTGTCGATCTTCCAGAGCAAAGAGTTGATCTTGACCAAGTGTGGCAGACTGGCACATTCCAAGGTCCAGGACTATGTGCTGACAGAAGCACTACAGCTTGGGGCAGCTCTTGCCAGGGCAGGGTGGGGAAAGACCACCGTCTGAGGTCTTTCAGCTGAAGTTAAATGGGGGTCCATTCAGTTATTGGGATCTCCCAATGCCTCAAATATATCTAAATATAGTCTTGTACAAATAAAAAATGCCTTGGTTTGTTTGCTGGATGGAGTCAAACTCCAATGTTTGTTTGTTTCTTCATATGGTACCACACACAACCGAACTTCTTTAGTGACTATGTATGTGTATAAAGATATTTTTATGAATACAAAAAGTTCAGAGGTATAGGAAAAGGCAGGAAATTGAAACAAAGTCAAAATGCTTTGGGAACCGGTGCTGACAAAATGGGCTGAACGGCCTCCTCCTAAACAGGAACAACTCTTTGATTCTCTCTCAGGCGCCTCAGGATTGGTTCTGAAGATTGTTGCGCTCTATTTGTCATAAGGAAAAGTATATTTTCATATATTTAGACAGATGCATGTGTGTGAGTTCATACGTAGCGTATTTTCGCATACGCTCACCACTTGTAAAGTGTGGAACGTTGCATAGGGAAGAGATCTTGGCCGGATAGTTAATCCATACCCACCCCCGGTCCAAGAAGAAACGAAGAGCTGCAGGAAATGCGCAGCCGCAGTTCGAGACTCGCCTGCGGTTGCGCACCCTTCCTCTACGAGACCTGCGGCGACGTTTCGCCAGTGCGCAACCGCAATTTGGAGCCTCGCCCACTGGGTGTGCCATGGCTAAGCCCATTCCGTTCCGGCGCATTAATGCGCTTGCGCGGTTTCTTCTATTTTTTTTCCTCCCCTCCCCCGCCACCACGACCTTTCCCCACGTGAAGGGAGCTCGGCGACAGCATCCGGGTTCTTGTCGGATCAGCGGCTGGGAGAACCGGGATCGCGGGCGCCTGGCAGAAACCGCTGGAACTTTCCAGACCGAGAGCGAGGAGATGCCCCGAGCCCGAGGCAAAGCCGGCGGTGGGCGGCAGGTGCAGGAGGACGAGGAGGAGCAGTGGGTGGACGGAGAGGAACTGGCGACGCCCCCACCGTCAGCATCGAGCCAGGACGGTGAGAGGGCAGCCCGGAGGCGGGGATGTGCAGGCCTTGGGAGGGACCTTCATGGGGAGAAATAAACCCTTTCTAGTTAAATAGATCCGGAATATAAACCACTGACACCGCTTTATCCACAGCTGTTACCCCATTAATACTGAGAATATAAACCCCAGAGACTGATCCT